TCGTAAAACCGTTGGCTGGTGCAATGTAGTTCAGACTCTTCTACAGCCCTGCCAAATTTCATGTTGATCGATGTAGCCATTTTTGTGCTACGGTTGACCAAAAATCACTGAAATTTAAAAAAAAAAAACAAACAGTACGAAAACAATATGACTCCCGCTTATGCTTCGCGTGCAAGGGTCATAATTATGTTGTTTGAGGCTTTATTCCTTTTTTCAGCCCACCACCACAGAGAGCTGCTCCACCACTAATACAAAACCACAGCCTCTCATAAACCACTGTTTCTGAAATATTTAAAACTCATTTATGCATTGTTTTTGATTATGCTTTTTTTTTTTCAGTTTTAACACACAGAACTGACAAATAGTGGGAAAAAGCTCATTAGAAAATACTTAACACAATTGTGCATTTATCTGTCTAAATTCTGATTGCAGATTCCTGGGAATAAGATGACATCTTTAAACCTAGCCACCATCTTCGGCCCAAATCTTCTCCACAAACAGAAAAACTCAGATAAGGAGTTCAGCGTGCAGAGCTCAGCCAGAGCCGAGGAGAGCACAGCCGTCATCGCTGTGCTGCAGAGAATGATCGCCAGCTACGAAACTCTATTCATGGTCAGTGACTGTCTAATCCTCACACAACTTCAGAATCACTAATGGATGGTRTAGAGCCAAAGAAAAACAATCCTCTCTGGCTTAAGTGGAAAATAGTTGTCTCTTTGTTCCCATGGTTTTAAAATAGAACACAAAGACTTCTCAAAAAAAAAAAAGTTTGCGAAAAACAGACTGATAGATGACAGATGGAAGAGAAATGGTTTTGTTTAAAGTCACAAAGCCCTATAACCCAACAACAGACCGAAGAGCTTTCCATCCACATTCTACCACTTCTTTTCTTTAATACCATTCTAATTCTGTGTGTGCTTACACAAGATGCCGCAGTTGTGCAATAATTTCTCAACAGTCAGGCAGTTTGGGTCACTTCAGACTCAAAAACGTGCTCTAATGTGACTCACATTTTCTTCTCCGATGTAGTTCAATGTAGGAATATTAATTACAGTCACTGCACTGTTACCAATTTGCTCAGACTGAGTAAAAATCTACTTATAGATTGATCAAATTTTTTGGAGAACTTTTCAAAGCCGCATTGTATCCTACTAGTCTGGGTTGGTTCCTGATCAGGCCACTTATTGTTCAGAGCATTTAGGGGCAAGAATCATTATATCATTATATCACTGAACCATTGGTACCATTAAGAAACACCTAATTTTGTTTTACTTGTTACAATGACAATAAAGATATATTCTATTCTATTCTATTCTATTCTATTCTATTCTATTCTATT